TTTTTTTTTTTTTTTTTTTCCAGAATGTGAATTCATCTTTGGAACTGTTATCAGTGGAGCTCTTCAATGTTTTTGTTGGGGATGTATTCCTCCAGAGAGGTTTTATCTGTTTTCACTATTCCTGGGGCAACACTGTTAATGAAGAGCACTTTGGGTTAAAATTTTTATTTGTGGTTATTGAGCCCATTAGGCAGTATCAGTTGGCCTCATAAACCTTCATAGTTACAAATTCTTAGGAGACACTCCCTTCCTGACTTTTATCCAGTGGTGTGATTAATTCAGGCATATTTATTTTCTGGCCTCTTCTTCAGAGTTGGGTTACCTTTTATTCATCCTTACCTTTGGGTGTAGCCCTTGAGTAGGCCCTTTGTGCAGGCCTATTTTCCTAGCCCTTTGTACTAGCCTGACTTTAGTTTCCTCTAGGTTTTATACTCCATGTAGTTCAAAATAGGGGGCTTAATGTCACCACAATTCATGAGAACTCCTCAGAGTGAAAGCTAGCTGAAGACTCCCTTGCTCCTTAGGGCTCCCTGATTGATTTTGCTTTTTGACCCAGTGAGATTCCATGTTTTCTTATCAGGTCAGTGCAGCATTTTAAATTTTTTTTTTTTTTTCTTTGAGACGGAGTTTCACTCATGTTACCCAGGCTGGAGTGCAATGGCGCGATCTCAGCACACCGCAACCTCTGCCTCCTGGGTTCAGGCAATTCTCCTGCCTCAGCCTCCTGAGTAGGTGGGATTACAGGCACGCACCACCATGCCCAGCTAATTTTTTGTATTTTTGGTAGAGACGGGGTTTCACCATGTTGACCAGAATGGTCTCGATCTCTTGACCCCGTGATCCACCCACCTCGGCCTCCCAAAGTGCTGGGATTACAGGCGTGAGCCACCGCGCCCGGCCAGCATTTTAAATTTTATCCAGCTCTTTAAGTTTTCATCAGGAGAGTTTTTTGGCATCTGTGGTCTGCCATACTGCTGGAAATGGAATTTAGGCATCTCATTTGATGGGTGTCTTTTCTACTTCCCCTTACTCCTGAGAGCCACCTTGAGGCAGGAGTGAGTGTCCCAAAGGAGTGGAGGTCACTGATTGCAGGAGCTACATGTTCTCTTATCTTCTGTGTCTACAGAACCCAACCAGGATTGATTTCACAGGACATGCCAGCCACTGTTACTGCTTGACCACAAAAGCTTGAGAGTGAACCTACAGAGACTAGAAATTGGGTAGTTGGGGAGAGGAAGGTAGAATAACATCAGGAGGGAAAAAATTTGTCATCCTTTCTGGAGGGCTAAGGGGGTATAGGAGGAGTGTTCGAGCAAGATTGATTGTATGTATGCATGCGTAACTCTTAGAATTGGCTGCAAAGGGGCAGATGGAATCAGAATTTGCTGAGTGTGGTTTGTTTTTATGGGTTCATAGGTAGACGATTCAGTGAACTTCCTGGCAGGCTGGCAGGATAGAAGTTCATTGGAGAGGTTGGGCTTAAAGCCTGCCTGAGAGAGCATGGGGAGTCTGTGAATTAGTCCTTTGGTGAGGGCTCTGGCCACACAACATTGAAGTTGTATTTTAAGATTACCAGGACAACCAGTTGGTGATGGGGTCATTTGGGCCATGGTGTGTGTGTAGGGTACTAAACAACTCCTAATACTCTTTTTCTTGGCCACACAGCATTTTGACTTTATCACTGTTTATGTGCCTTGTGATTTGGGAGCTGTTGGTTTGCCCCTGAGAGCAGGTCACTGAGCATCCATTCACCTCCTCCTGGTGGATGGAGGAGAAAAGACTAGAGGCATTAGTGTTCCCCTGCTCTGTCCCTGTTATGGGAGGAAATGGACTTAAGGAGCTACTTTACTGAGTATTTTTGCACTCAAGGCCCTGGACTCTGTAGTTGAGTCTTAAGGATAGGGGCACTTGGCCCTTTGGTGATACCTGCCTGGAACAGGTTCAGCTAGGGGATGACAGAGGAGACAGATCCCCTGGTTTGTCTAATATATTGGAGACGATTAGGAAGCAGAACTGGGGAAGATTAGGAAGATGCTGCTGGGAAGATTAGGAAGATGATGCTGAGGGTTTTATTTTAGGCTTTAAGAAAGGCCTTTGGATTCTCATAGAAAAAAACAAAATCACTTCTCAAGGCCTCTCCTGAGGGCAGTTGCCCAGGTCTTGTGTTCACTGGACTCTGTAAGCAAGCACTGTGTGTATATATAATGGAGATCAGATCCAGCTACTATGTAAGTGTTGGATATACAGTTGTGATCAGACTCAGCCTCCCTGTGAGTGTGCTTTGGGTATACAGTGAAGATCAGACCCAGTCTAGAACAGATAGTATTCATGCAATGGTCTCACAAACGGCACGGAAGGACACTGGCCTAGGAAGAGCGTGCTTTGAGTAGCTGACAGAGGCGGCCTTGGCTCGGTTGTCGGGAATTGGTCAGAAACGGTGTGACTGAGCTGACTTCAGGGCCAGGTGGAGCTTCATTTGGTAGGGGGTGACATAGGAATTAAAATGAATTTTAGGCTAGTAAGGCCACATTTGCTTGAATAGTATTTATACTTGTTCTTTGTACTTGGCATTTTTATAGAAGGGTTACATATGCGTATGTCAAGATACCATGAATGCTATAGCTAGAGATATAAAAAGACCTGAGTGTGTTGCATTGATGATGACTTGTATCACAAACACCGATACTAGTGGTGATACAGTTTTTCAAAATGGTGAACAAGTGTTGGTAAAGTTCTGATAAAAAGATTTTCATTTTCTCTACTGTTAGTGTGTTTACTATACTATATTAAAATTGTGCAAAAGATGTTTTATATTTATATAAATCTGAGTTTGGTTCTAAGCCCAAGTTAAATCATTGCACGTAGGTTTTGGCAGGACAGATGGAAGTCGTGAGGGTATGAGACAGGTGTCGTTTGTGGGACTGACCCACACATTGTGGGACTGCTGTAACCCTTTTCACTCCTTCTCCCATTGTGACAACCAACCTTCTCCCCCAACAAATTTTATTTTTTTATTTTTTATTTTTTTTGAGACAGAGTTTCGCTCTTGTTACCCAGGCTGGAGTGCAATGGCGCGATCTCGGCTCACCACAACCTCCGCCTCCTGGGTTCAGGCAATTCTCCTGCCTCAGCCTCCTGAGTAGCTGGGACTACAGGCACGCACCACCATGCCCAGCTAATTTTTNTTCAGGCAATTCTCCTGCCTCAGCCTCCTGAGTAGCTGGGACTACAGGCACGCACCACCATGCCCAGCTAATTTTTTTGTAGTTTTAGTAGAGACGGGGTTTCACCGCGTTGACCAGGATGGTCTCGATCTCTTGACCTCGTGATCCACCCGCCTCGGCCTCCCAAAGTGCTGGGATTACAAGCGTGAGCCACCGCGCCCGGCCCCCCAACACATTTTAAAGCACCTTCTGAGTGCCCTTCTTCCTCCTTCCACTAACTGCTGCTGTTCTGGGTGTAACAGGGAGACAAGGATATGACCCCAGGTGGGAGAGCTATTGGAGATGTGCAGAGAAGCGTTGTTGGTCTGTTATTGCTGTTGTAAAAGTGGCCCGTAGTGAGTTGTCCAGACAAATCAAAATGCATAGGAAGTTGAATATCTTAAAATGAGAAATTAACTGGCCAGGTGGTTTGCCAGCAGTCATCACCATTTTGAAAATATTGGCATGGAGTCTCTGCGGTGCTGAGATATTTTCATCGCCTGAATCCTTGTGGAAACTCCCATTATCATTGTGTGCATGTGCAAATCCCCCTACTCCTATAATTAATTTCTGTGAGCTCTGTGGATAAACGGGGATGCCTCCTGGCCTCTGTTTGCATTTCCCCTCAGCATTACTGCATTTTGTCAGCTTATTGACAGGGTCAAGGTGACTGGTTTTCCATGAATTAAAATTACTAAAGTGTGACTGTGTAATCTCCTGGAAAACTAAGTAGATGCCCTTGGAGACTAACACCTTCAAAATCTGTTGTGATTGTGTTCTGCATTGCTGAGCAAATCACTTCTTTCCATACCTTAGCTTCCTCAGTGGTTAAATGAAGGTTACTACAAACCTCAAGAAGTTGTGAAGGGAATTAAATGCATTACCATCAGTAAAAATGTTTAGCACATTTGCCATAATTGATGCAGATTTTTAAAAATATGGAATACTTATGAATTTGCATGTAATCCTTGTGGACAGGCCGTGCTAATCTCAGTATTGGTCCAATTTTAGTGTATGTGCTGCCAAAGTGAGCACTCAGATTTCTTTAAAAAAAACTAACAGATCTGGTTGGCCTTCCACTCCCACCTGCCACCCCATCTCATCTCCCACTTTCCCACTCCAGTTTCCCTCCTTCCCCTGTGGTTACCACTTCTGTGAAGAGCTGGCGTGTAGCCTTCCAGTTCCGGTTTTATACTCCAGCACTGCACATAGCATCTATCAACAACACAGAGAATTGCTTGTAGGTATTTATAGTTATATAAGTGATGCTGTACACTTTCTCTCTGCAGCTTTGTTTCATTAAGTGTTGTTTTCAAGATCTGTATGCTGTCTAGGTAGTTCATTTTTTTAAACTTCCATATAATATAGTTATATTCATTTCCCAGTTGGTAGTCCTTTATGTTTTTCTGATGCGTTGCTGTTATGGACAGTGCAGTAGGGTGTTCTACTGGCATCTACTGGTAGAAGCCAGGGATGCCATTAAATATCCTGAAATGCAGTGGAAAGCCTCCTGCCACCCCACAAGCGGACTCATCTAGCCCCAAATGTCATTAGTTCTGACAATGAGGACTCCTATTTTAGAATGTATTTTGGTGTGAGTTGTGAGATGAGGGAGCTTGCTTTTTTCCCTCTGAAGAACCAGTCGACCCAGACACTATTAAGGTAATGAATCTTAAGGCAGAGATATTTTTCACTTAAATGGTAGAGAAGATGCTATTGCCTTGCTTGTTAAGATATAACTTTTTAAAATTGACTTTGCTTGTCTTACAGATTCTTAGACTCTGTGAGTAAAGGCAGCTTCGTCTTCCCAGTTCTTCATGGCTTCAGCATCCAGGTAGGAGTGCCGTTTGATCAAATGTTTTATCAAAGAATGTATTCCCCTGTGTTTTTGAAAGGCCAGGAAGTTTAAAGAAAGAAGGGAGAGGAGATGGGAGAATAATGGGAAAAATGGGAAAAGGCAGATGGTTGTGTGTATGGGTGTGGTCATGTAGCACTAATGTTTACTCTCGACTCATCACTCGAGAGTAAACGTGACTTCACTTTCCTCATTTTTCAAGATAAAGACACCAGATGGTTATCCCTGGGGCCACCTCAGTCCCTGCAGGCTTTCTTATGCCTGGGGTTTGAACAATCATGTGCACAAGTTATTTGAGGGTCGGGGGGTGAGGAGGAGCTTGGGCAGTCAAATTGGTAGAGACCCTGGCCTTGCAGCCCGGGACCTGCCCCTGGGAACTGGGCGAGGCTACGTCAGAGAAAGTGTGAAGGTGGCTGCTGCCCCTGAGAACTTTACTCCAGGGCCCATGGGATGGGCTTTGAATTTCCTTTCCCTTCAAACTGGCCTCTTGTCCTGGCCCATGCAGAGCTTGAATGAGTGAATACCTCACCTCCCCAGAAGTCAGCATTGCAGCTGGCAGTCAGTCTTCTGTGGTAAATCTTGGATCTTTCCTTTGGGATGGAAGGTCCTCATGTAGAGGTTGGGGCCTTCAAAGGGGCACAGAGCAGCAGCAAGCACCTCTGTGCCTACCCTCCCTGCTAAGTCCATTCTCCCAGTCAGGGTGATGTATTGACAGCCTAGGTACGACTCCTTACTGCCCTGTTCCATCACTCTGGGGCTACCTGTGGCAGCTGAACAATGGAAGTCCTGGCCAGGGCCTGCGGAGTCCTGTGGGGCCTGGTTCTCTCTGGCTCTGCTCTGCTCTGATCTCCTGTCCGCATTGCACCTTAAGCCTCATTGACCTCCTTGCTCTTCTGCAGATGTCAAGTCCCTTCAGTGTCAGGGCCGTGTGCCTGTGGTTCTTTCTCTCTGCCTGGGACATCTTGTCTCCAGCTGTCTGCAGGGTTCAATCTCTCACCTCTTTCAGGCCCGCCACCCTGTGAGCCTTCTCTCACCATTCCGTCCAAAATAGCACCCCTAGCTCTACCACTTCGTTGCATTCTGTCCCTTATCTGGGATGGCATTCATTGCTACCTGACACCATTGTAGCTATTTGTTTGTTGATTTGTTGTCTGACTCCCTCAATTAGAACTAAAATGCTATGCAGGTTGGGTGTGGAGTTTGCCCATCACCAGCCCCTGGGCAGCACCTGTTCACTGTGCTCAAATGCAAGTACAGAGAGTCTCCCACTTAACATGGTTCAACTTAGGATGGTGTAAAAGCCATATACATTCTGTAGAAACCGTACTTTCAATACCCATACAGCCACTCTATTTTTAACTTTTAGTACTGTATTCAATAAATTATATCAGCTATTTAATACTTTATTAAATTATAGGCTTTGTGTTTGATGACTTTTCCCAACTATAGGCTAATGTAAGTGATCTGAACACGTTTACGATAGGCTAGGGTAAGCTATGATGTTTGCTAGGTTAGGTGTATTAAATGCATTTTTTACTTAAGGCATTTTTTACTTAAGTCATTTTTAACTCATGATGAGTTTATTGGTATGTATCCTGATTGTAAGTCGAGGAGCACCTATATCACTTACCATCCATTTGATTCCTATGTCCACAGGGCAAGAGAGTGGCAGGAGTTTCCATGTTTTCCAAGTTGATTTGGCTTCTGATGGCAGTTAGCATGCAGTATGATAGCCGCAAGGGAGCTATCTGAAAATCCAAATCTGCTCAGTTCTTGAATTTGGGTAGTGAGAGTTCAAGTAGGGGGAGTTTGAGAATTTGGGGAATAAGGGAAACTTCTGTTTGTCAATTAAGAGAGGGAAGGTATAGTAAGACAAATGTAATTGCTGAGCTCCTAGGGCCACCGAGCCTGAGGGGACAGCAGTGGGTGTCACTCCAGCTGACCAGGGCTCCCTGTTGGCAGTTTCTGTTATCTGGAGTGATAACAGCAGCATCTGGATTCATCACTAAAGGGGATCCTTTGTTTTAGAACACATTGTTTAAGAAGGAAAGGAATTAGGTAACACCTCTTTAGTCTGTCTCCCATCATTAAAATACTTCTGCACTTAAAAGCATAATCTGTGTTTATCTGGAAAATTTACTTACTAATTGCTATTCCTTGTGTGAGATCTGTGAAGCCATTCAGATGAAAATATTTTATAGTGGGAGCATCCTCCTCTTTTCTGCTGACGCATTGGCTTTCTGGCATGGCCTCTTCCTGATTCTGTTTCCTGTCATTACAGAGATGTCATTACTGGGAGAGGTTCCCACTCAAAGGTGAAGTCTGCAAAGCTACTTGAGGTTCTGAATGCTATGGAGGAGGAAGAGTCCAGCAACAATAGGGAAGAGATTTTCATTGCGCCTCCTGACAATGCTTCAGGGGAATTTACTGATGAGGACTCAGGTGATGAAGACAGCCAGCGAGGTGCTCACCTTCCTGGCAGTGTGCTGCATGCTTCAGTCCTGTGTGAGGACTCTGGCACCGGGGAGGATAATGATGACCTAGAGCTGCAGCCAGCCAAGAAGAGGCAGAAAGCAGTTGTGAAGCCTCAGCGCGTTTGGACCAAAAGAGATATTCGTCCAGACTTTGGCAGTTGGATGGCATCAGATCCTCATATTGAGGATCTGAAAAGCCAAGAACTGAGTCCTGTGGGCCTTTTTGAATTGTTTTTTGATGAAGGAACAATTAATTTCATTGTTAATGAAACCAATCGTTACGCTTGGCAGAAAAATGTCAATCTGAGTCTTACAACTCAGGAATTGAAGTGTGTTTTGGGCATTTTGATTTTAAGTGGGTACATCTCTTATCCAAGGAGAAGGATGTTCTGGGAAACCTCTCCTGATTCACATCATCATCTTGTAGCTGATGCAATTAGAAGGGACAGATTTGAACTAATCTTCTCATACCTACATTTTGCAGATAACAACGAACTTGATGCAAATGATAGGTTTGCCAAGGTCAGACCTCTCATCATCCGGATGAACTGCAATTTCCAGAAGCATGCACCCTTGGAAGAGTTCTACAGCTTTGGGGAGTCTATGTGTGAGTACTTTGGGCGTCGGGGGTCCAGGCAGCTGTACACAGGGAAGCCTTTGCGACTTGGGTACAAGATTTGGTGTGGGACAACCAGCAGAGGCTACTTGGTTTGGTTTGAGCCCTCACAGGGCACACTTTTTACCAAGCCAGACAGGAGCTTGGATCTAGGAGGCAGTATGGTAGTAAAATTTGTGGATGCACTTCAGGAGCGTGGTTTTCTGCCATATCACATATTTTTTGACAAGGTTTTTACAAGTGTTAAACTGATGTCCATTTTGAGGAAAAAGGGGGTGAAGGCCACAGGAACTGTTCGTGAGTACAGGACTGAGCGATGTCCCCTAAAAGACCCCAAAGAACTGAAGAAAATGAAGAGGGGTTCATTTGATTACAAAGTTGATGAGAGTGAGGAGATCATCGTGTGCCGCTGGCACGATAGCAGCGTGGTCAACATTTGCTCCAATGCTGTGGGTATAGAGCCAGTGAGGGTGACTAGTCGTCACTCTGGAACAGCTAAAACGCGGACTCAGGTCCACCAACCATCACTGGTGAAGCTGTATCAGGAGAAGGTGGGGGGTGTTGGTCGGATGGACCAGAATATTGCCAAGTACAAGGTGAAGATCCGAGGCATGAAGTGGTACTCAAGCTTCATTGGCTATGTCATTGATGCTGCCCTCAACAATGCATGGCAGCTACATAGGATCTGCTGCCAAGATGCCCAGGTGGACCTCCTTGCTTTCCGGAGATATATTGCCTGTGTGTATCTGGAGAGCAATGCTGACACGACCTCTCAAGGGAGGCGAAGCAGGCGGCTGGAGACTGAGAGCCGCTTTGATATGATTGGGCATTGGATTATCCACCAGGACAAGAGGACCCGATGTGCCCTCTGCCACTCACAGACCAATACCCGGTGCGAGAAGTGCCAGAAGGGTGTCCATGCCAAGTGCTTCAGGGAGTACCACATCCGGTGACATCGCGAGACATGCTTGTTTGGTTTATAACGAGATGTTTATAGCTCATTACGGATCGCAGTTGAGTACTTCTGTTCTGTGTTGGAAAAAAGACCTGAATTTCTGATGACTTGGTTTTCTATTTTCTCCCTACCCACAATACAGTTCTCTTTTTTATTGTGTTCTATTATACCTACATGTGATATAAATTAATATTTATGTTAGTAATATTTGCAAATCTTTATTTTCTGGCATTTATTTAAAGTTAAGGACTTTTTTTATTCAGATAAAAATTGTGCTTTATAGTATATTTGAATCCTAGCAAGAATAATCAAAGGAAAACTTGCAAGAACAGTGAAAAGACTTTACCATTGCATGCCAGGATTTATAATCTAAGATAGGCAATAGTGTATAAATATCATGTAAATATGATGGATTTCTTAATCGTATTTATTTCGTCTTTATCCAAGGTTATCAAACTGTCCAGGAATAGATAATCTGCCTTGTATTTAGTCAGAGGGCTAGTGTTGCAGAGTTCATATTTTCTTGATAAAAATATTTTCCTAATATATCAATGTGGGATTCCTTTTTTTAAAAAATGTTTTTTTAAATTTTTGTGGGTACATAGTAGGTGTGTTTTTTTATGGGTTACATGAGATACTTTGATATAGACAAGCTGTGTAACAATTACATCAGGGTAAATGTAAAATTACAAAATTTACATTTTGTCCTTTGTTTTACAAACTGATTATACTCTTAGTTATTTTAAAATGTACAATTAAATTATTTTTAACTCTGTTCACCCTGTTGTGCTAGCAAATACTAGGTCTTCCTCATTCTTTCCATTTTTTCATACCCATTAACTATCCCCGCTCTCCCCCACACCCCAATTTCCCTTTCCAAGCCCTGGTAACGTTCTTTCTACTCTGTATGTCCATGAGTTTAATTGTTTTCATTTTTAGCTCCCACAAATGAGTGAGAACATCTGAAGTTTGTCTTTCTGTGCTTTGCTTATTTACCACTTAATATAATGACCTCCAATTGCATTCATGTTGTTGCAAATGACTGAATCTCGTTTTTTTTTGTGGCTAAATATTAATATTTCATTTTATTTGTGTATATTTATCCATTCTATTGTGAATAGTACAGAAAATAAATATAGTAGTTCAGATCTTCAATATACTGATTTTTTTTCTTTTGGATATATACTTAGGAATGGGATTCCTGAATCATATGGTAGCTTTATTTTTAGTTTTTGAGGAACCTCCAAACTGTTCTCTGTAGAGCTTGTACTAATTACATTCCCTCCAACAGTGTTCGAGAGTTCCCTTTTCTGTACATCCTTGCCAGCATGTGTTATTGTCTGTCTTTGGATAAAAGCCATTTTTACTGGGTTGAGGTATCTCAATGTAGTTTTGACTTGCATTTTTCTGTTCATTAGTGATGTTGAGCACCTTTTGTATACCTGTTTGCTATTTGTACATTTCTTTTTTTTGAGATGAAGTTCACCTTATTACCTAGGTTGGAGTGCAGTGGTGTGTGACCTCGGCTCACTGCAACTACTGTCTTCTGGGCTCAAGTGATTCTTCACCTCAGCCTCCCAAGTGGCTGGTAACAGGTGCCCACCACCACAGCTGCCTAATTTTGTTATTTTTAGTAGAGATACCGTGTTGGCTAGGCTGGTATTGCCCTCTTGACCTCAAGTGATTTGCTCACCTTGGCCTCCCAGTGTACATCTTTAGAGAGATGTTTATTTAGATCTTTTTGCCCATTTTCAAATCAGATTATTAGATTTTTTTTTGCTGTAGAGTCATTTGAGTTTATTATGTATTCTGGTTATTAATTTCTTGTCCAATGTGTAATTTGCAAATATGTTCTCCCATTCTATGGATTATCCTTCACTTTGTTGATTGTTTTCTTTGCTGCACATAAGCTTTTTAACGTGATGTAATCCCATTTGTTCATTTTTGCTTTGGTTGCCTGTGGTTGTGGAGTATTGCTAAAGAAATCTTTGTCCACTCCAATGTTCTGGTCAGTTTCCCCAGTGTTTTCTTATAGTAGTTTTATAGTTTAAGGTATTAAAGATTTTAATCCATTTTGATTCAATTTTTGTGTACGGTGAGAGATAGGGGAGACTCTCCATAATGCATGTTCTTGGCACCTTTGTCAAAAATGAGGTCACTCTAGATATGTGGATTTATTTCTGGGTCCTCTGTTCTGTTGATTCTCTATTTGGTGTCTGTTTTATGCTACTACCATACCGTTTTGGTTACTAGTGCTCTGTAGTATTGTTTGAGGTCTGGTAGTATGATACCTCTAGTTTTATTTATTTTTTTTAGAATAGCTTTAGCTATTCTGGGTCTTTTGTGGTTCCATATAAATTTTAGGATTGTATTTTCTATTTCTGTGAAGAATGTCCTTGGTATTTGATAGGGATTACATTTAATCTGTAGATTACTCTGGGTTGTGTGGTCACTTTTCCAATTCTGCATGGGGAATATTTTTCCATTTTTTTGGAGTGTCCTCTTCAGTTTCTTGCATTAATGTTTTATGGATTTTATTGTACATATCTTTCACTTCTTTGATTAAGTTAATTTCTAGGTATTTGTGGCCATTGTAAATGTGATTACTTTTTAAATTTCTTTTTTAGATTGCTCACTGTTGGCATGTAGAAATGCCACTGATTTTCATATGTTGATATTGTATCCTGCAACTTTGCTGAATGTGATTATCGGTTCTAATTTTTTTTTTGATGGAGTCTAGGTTTTTCTAAATATAAGATCGTATCATCTGAAAGCAAGTATAATTTGACTTCTTTCCAATTTAGATGCCCTTTATTTCTTTTGTCTGATTGCTCTAGCTAGGATTTCCAGTACCACATTGAATAACAATGGTGAAAGTGGGCATCCTTTTTGTGTTCCAAATTTCAGAGGAAAGGCTTTCACTTTTTCTCCATTCAGTAAGATACTAGCTGGGGGGCTGTCATATATGGCTTTTACTGCTGAAGAGATTTCTAAGACAAGTGTTGAAGGAGTGGCTTTATTCATCCTGGCTGCTTATGGTAACATGTAAGAAAAAATAAATGAAGATGAAATTTGTATGCAAAAAAGTAGTAGAAATTACAGATGGGAAAAATTCTCAGCCTATCCATATTACACAGCAAAAAACTTAGCATGTTTTCCAGTGTGACTGCTCTGGTGCTAAACATAAAATTAAAAAGACAAAAAAAATTAGCATGTTTGGAAGAGGGCATTATGGTGTGACAGGCTATTAGATAAGATTAGTGTGGGTGTGAATCATGGACCTAATCAGCCATCACAACAGAATAGAGCTTACACACCAGAAACACTGCCAGCTGGAATTAAAGTAAACAGAGAAAATGGAATAAAATGAAGGAAGGCTGTTGGACTTCTTAGATTTTACAGGACAGAACCATAGAGTAACTCAGTTACAAACATGCTATTCAAGACAGAGGAAGAATGACCCTGTAGATGATTAGTACATCATCAGGGCTGTCTCCTTGGTTTCAAGAAAGCCTCTGCTTAGAGTTCACCTTAGGTACAGTACTTGTTTATATATAGGATAAAAAAAGATTATGGGATTTGTGATAAAGGATTAATTTTCTAAATTACCATATTTTGCAGGAACAGATGTTATCGTTAAAGCAAAATTAGGAATGCTTCTGTTACCAAGCTATGGGGATATGAGGACACTCCTAGGTCTGGGTCTGTTTAGTAAATGTTATTTATCTGTTCCCTTAACCATAAACGTCTAGAGGATAGAAATGCCTAACTTTCTGGGAATGCAGTCCAGTGAGTCCCAGCCTCATTTTCCTAGCCCTCCCTCAAGATGAAGTTATTTTGGTTCAAATGCTCTGACAATGAGACATCAACCAATATGTGTAAGATGTACATTGGTTCAATCCAGAAATGTGGGACAACTGGAGGTGAAAGCTGGACAACTCAAAGCGGAGAGAGGGTTTCCAGGTCATATGTGGGTAAGAGACAAATTGTTATGTTATTTTGAGTTTATGATTAGCCTCTCAAAATGAGCCAATCAGATATGCATTTATCTCAGTGAGCAGAGGGGTGACTTTGAAGAGAATGAGAGGCAGTTTTGCCCTTAGCAGTTCCCAGCTTGACTTTTCTCTTTAGATTATTGATCTGGGGACCACAAGATTTATTTTCCTTTCACATTTTCCCCCATTTCTGTTTTAAAATCTTTTGGTGAAAGCATTTTAGGAAAAAATGAGTCTCTGGTTTCAGGTTTTGTCTGATCTCTTATGACTAGGATGGTTTATTCTAGACAGGTAGGTCCAACATTATTAGGAAAGTTCATTTTTGGCAGGTTGCAGTCTCATGTCTTATGAAGAGAAAATAGGGACAGTAAGGGAGAACAATAACAAACAAAAGAACCATCATGGAAAATCAATATAGGCCACATTACTCTGAAGTTCATACATCAGTAGGCAGGTATGAAAGTGGCTTATGTATGTAAATAAGTTGCTGTTATTTTCTTCTGAAGTTTAAATTGTCTAGCTTCAGTTTGCAGGGCTTTACCAAAGCACAGCTGAGTTTTTGTGACTCCAAATTAGGAAAAAGGTGGAAAAAAGAAAAAAATTGAACACATTATCTTGCAGGCTTGTAGCCATGAAAAATTAGAATTCAGTTAAAACTGTAGAAAGTAGTAAAAATTGGAAAACATTAGGCAAGAGTAGAATTCAATAACAGGTGTACTATAGTTTTTCAAACATAATTTTTCTGTCTCCAGTTTTACTAAAGACAGATCATGGTAGGATTGATTTGCTTTATTATACTTGGCCTGATTATTTGTATACAGCACAGCAAGGATAATTATTCTTTTACATAGGCTTTCAAGTTAGTTTTGAGGGAACTTTGTTCCATAGAAGGAATGTCAGATAAGACTTTTTTAAAGCCAAGCCCAGCCATGGATTTGTACCATCAAATACATATGAGCTGGGTAAATCCCTCTCCTCTTCAGTTTCCAAGATAAACTTTGGGCTCCGGGGCTGTCAGAAAGTGACATTCTTTACTTACCACACCTTAGGAACCCTGTACAGGGACTGTGTAGAAAAGGTATGATGCCAGTTTTCCCAAGGGGCTTCCATTGGCTCTATAAATCAAGTTTGATTCCTTAAAGAAAAGCACATCATTCTAGTCAAAGCCTTGGTAAAATAACCAGTTTCTCCAATTGAGTCCTGTTATAAATGAAAACAGATTCCTATTACACTTGTACAAATAACTGTATTGCCATTAGTTAACAATACTCATGAATAGTTTCCAAATTCTGTAAAAATCAGGAATAAACAAGTATTTCTAAAGTTTGTACATAGAAGCATACCAAAAATTTTTTTGAGATAGAATTACTCTTGTCGTCCATGCTAGAGTGCAGTGGCGTAATCTCAGCTCACTGCAAACTCCACCTCCCAGGTTTGAGTGATTCTCCTGCCTCAACCTCCCAAGTAGCTGGATAACAGGCATCCACCACCACGCCCAGCTAATTTTAGTATTTATTAGTAAAGACAAGGATTTACCGTGTTGGCCAGCTGAAACTACTGACCTCAGGTGATCCACCCACCTTGGCCTCCCAAAGTGCTGAGATTATAGGCATGAGCCACCGTGCATGGCCAAGGATTGTACCAAATTGTTGAAAGCCATCCGTAGCTCAAAAGAAAAGTTTCCTTGACTCTGAAAAAAACAAAATAGGCTGGGTGTGGTGGCTCATGCCTGAAATCCCAGCACTTTGGGAGGCCAAAGCCAGACAGGAGAATCACTTGAACCTGGGAGGTGGAAGTTGCAGAGAGCTGATACTGAGCCACTGGACTCCAGCCTGGGCAACAACAGTGAAATTCCATCTCAAAAATAATAAACTTTCTTATTTAAAAAACTATTTTTATGACTTTCTTTACATTTCTCTCATTTCCTGGTTTCTTTCACCCTGTTTTATACATAACCTTTCTTCCTTTCTGTCTCTTTCTTTCTGCCGGCCCCCACTCCTTTCTTTCTTTTTGAGATGGAGTCTCACTCTGTCACCCAGACTGGAGTGCAGTGGCATAATCTCAGCTCACCACAGACTATGCCTCCTGGGTTCCAGTGATTTTCCTGCCTCAGTCTCCCGGGTAGCTGGGATTATAGGTACATGCCACCACACCTGACTAATTTTTGGTAGGGACAGGGTTTTACCATGTTGGCCAGACTGGTCTCAAACTCCTGACCTCAGGTGATCCGCCCATATTGGTCTCCCAAAGTGCTGGGATTACAGACGCGAGTCACCATGCCTGGCCTATACATAAACTTTAAATAAGCTTTGAATTAGACGAAAAATGTTCACCTTTTTAAAAAGGACACCACGCCCAGCCATCTCAGCATTATTTTAATTTGCAGTCTCCTAATGTCACCCAGCCATCTCAGCATTGTTTTAATTTGCAGTCTCCTAATGTGACATGATGTTGAGCATCCTTTTGTATGATTATTTGCTATCTGTATATTTTTGGGGGTTTTTTTTTGAGACAGCGTCTTACTCTGTCATTCAGGCTGAAGTGCGATGGCTTGATCTTGGCTCACTGCAACCTCTGCTTTCTGTGTTCAAGCAATTATTTTGCCCCAGCCTCCCAAGTAGCTGGGATTACAGGCGCCCACCACCATGCCCTGCTAATATTTTGTATTTTTAGTAGAGAAGGGGTTTTGCCATGTTGGCCAGGCTGATCTCGAACTTCTGACCTTAGGTGATCCACCCGCCTCAGCCTCCCAGAGTGCTGGGATTACAGGCATGCGCCACCATGCGTGGCATGCTATCTATCTGTTTATTTTCTTTGGGTGGGTGTCTGTTCAGATATTTACCCAGTTTTAATTGGGGTTTTAGTTTTAGGTTTTTTTTTTGGAGATGGAGTCTAGCTCTGTCACCTAAGCTGGAGTGCAGTGGCACAATTTTGGTTCACTACAACTCTGCGTCCTCGGTTCAAGCAATTCTCCCACCTCTGCCTCCCGAGTAGCTGGGATTGCAGTTGAGTGCTGCCACACCTGGCTCGTTTTTTGAATTTTAGTAGAAATGAGGTTTCACCATGTTGCCCAGGCTGATTTTGAACTCATGACCTCGTAATGATCTGCCTGCCTTGGCCTCCAAAGGTGCTGGGACTACAGGTGTGAGCCACTGTGCCTGGCCAGTTTAAAATTTTACTGTTCCGCTGGGCATGGTGGCTCATGCCTGTAATCCCAGCACTTTGGTAGGCTAAGGCGGGTGGATCACCTGAGGTCAGGAGTTCGAGACCAGCCTGACCAATATGGTGAAACCTCATCTTTAAAAAAGAAAAAAATAAATGAAATTTTTACTGTTCCTTTGAAGAGTTATTTGTGTATTTTTAATACAGTTTTAAAAATCACATATGTATTTTGTAAATATCTTCTAACAGTCTCGGCTTTTTGTTCTCTGAATGGGATTTTTCACAGTGGAAAATTGAGTTTTATAAAGTCTATGTTATGAATAGTTTCATGAGTTGGCGTTTGATGATGTGTGTTAAAACTTAATACCAAACCCAATGTCACATAGATTTTCTTTTTGATTTCTCACAGTTTTGCATTTTCAATTATAGGCTCTGGACTATTTTGAGTAGGTTCTTGTGTTTTAATTTGTGTATACCTTTCCTTCTATATGGCTTCCAAATAATCCTTCCATCACCATTTTTGGGAGGGATATGGTTATAGTGGGCTTCATTTCAGTTTGAATTTCCAAAATTATGACATTGAATAAACTGAATATTGAATTTTATAGGTATTTCAGGGCAACTAGGAGGGGGCATGCATCTGCGGAGAAACTGTGAGCAACAGTATCTGTGCTGAGCCTTGTCGCCACCAGAGGGCCCATGTACCGACTCCTGAGCAACTTCCCTATGAGGTGCCAGAAGCAGCAGGGAGCTTTATCTTCCTCAGGGCAGCATGAAGGTCGTGTCAGCTTGGTGTTATTCATTGGTGAGTAAAAAAGCTTCCTGTTCACATCCCTGAGTGCAGAGGAGAGAGTCTTTAGAGAGTACTCAGCAGAGGAAGGAATTCATCTAGAAAAATGAAACCCTCCAATCCCACTATTTTGACTACACTCTGATATTGTCAATGTCCAAAACACAGTGCCTGCTAATGTATATTCTCACAGTGGCCTTTAATGTAGTAATCGCAATGTGCCCTAACACCAATATAATATCCACACCATGCCCTAACACTAATCTAATATCCACACCATGCCGTAACACTAATATATCCACACAGTAGCCTCTAATATTAGTAAATATATCTACTAAGTAGACTCTGTTGACATTGAGACTTTTATAAGGGTTTCACAGCTTTGGTTGAACTATAGCGTCTATAATGGATTTTGATGAAGTCTCTGCTTTCCTGGCATGGTATTGATATGGTTGTTTTAAAAAGTAATTTACTTTCCAATAATGTCATACTTCTAGGAATCCTCCAATAGCAGTACAAAGTATAAACTGTTCCTTCTCTTAGATTCTGCAGCAGTTGTTGCAGTACCAGATTTACATGTCCCACGAAATACTTCAGTGTATTTTACCCAAAGTAGAGACACTCTCCCAGGTAACCACTACATTTCCCTAGATCAGGAAATCAGCATGGTCCCTACATGATAATTCAGTCTACAAACTCATTTCACTTTTACCTCCTGCATCACCTGGGAGTACAATGTGTTTTTTCATTTTTCTGATCCTGTTTTATTTTCCTGGCACTGTTCCCAGACTTTCCTGCATATTTGTCACCTTGACAGATTTAAAGAGCATGCAAATTGTTTGAACACCTGTCTTCAGGTCTTTGATGTATATGCCTAGGAATGGAATAATTGAGCCATATGGCAAATCTATTTGTAACTGAAGAAACACCAAAAAATTTTACAGATAGGCTACACCATTTATTATTGTTACAAGCAGTGTTTTAAGGGTTCAAGTTTCTGCACATCTTTGTCAACTCATTTTTTTTTAGTATAACTATTCTAGTGTGAAATTTTTTTGAATTTTTTTTGAGACGGAGTCTTTCTCTGTTGCCCAGGCTGGAGTGCAGTAGTACCATCTTGGCTTAATGCAAACTTCACCTCCCAGATTGAAGTGATCCTCCGACCTCAGCCACCTGAGGAGCTGGGATTAGAGGTGCATACCACCATGCCCGGCTAATTTTCGTATTTTCAGTAGAGATGGGTGTTTTTCTTTCTTTCTTTTTTTTTTTTCTGTATATTTTTTTTTATTGCATTTTAGGTTTTGGGGTACATGTGAAGAACATGCAAGACTGTTGCATAGGTACACACATGGCAGTGTGGTTTGCTGCCTTCCTACCCATCGCCTATATCTGGCATTTCTCCCCATGCTCTCTCTCCCTAACTCCCCACCCCCTGCTCTCCCTCCCCTATTTCCCCCCGGACAGACCCCAGTGTGTGATGCTCCCCTCCCTGTGTCCATATGTTCTCATTGTTCAACACCCACCTGTGAGTGAGAACATGCAGTGTGTGATTTTCTGTTTTTGTGTCAGTTTGCTGAGAATGATGGTTTCCAGGTTCATCCGTGTCCCTACAAAGGACATGAACTCATCATTTTTTATGGCCACATAGTATTCCATGGTGTGTATGTGCCACATTTTCCCTGTCTAGTCTGTCGTCGATGGGCATTTGGGCTGGTTCCGGGTCTTTGCTATTGTAAACAGTGCTGCGATGAACATTCGTGTGCATGTGTCTTTATAGTAGAACGATTTATAATCCTTTGGATATATACCCGGTAATGGGATTGCTGGGTAAATTGAATTTATATATCTAGGTCCTTGAGGAATTGCCACATTGTCTTCAACTATGGTTGAACTAATTTACACTCCCAGCAACAGTGTATAAGTGTTGCTATTTCTCCACATCCTCTGTAGCATCTGTTGTCTCCAGTTTTTTTAATGATCGCCATTCTAACTGCTTGAGATGGTATCTCAATGTAGTTTTGATTTGCATTTCTCTAGTGAACAGTGATGATGAGCATTTTTTCATGTTTGTTGGCCTCATGTATGTCTTCTTTTGTAAAGTATCTGTTCGTATCCTTCCCCGACTTTTGAATGGGCTTGTTTCTTTTTTTCTTGTAAATCTGTTTTATTTGTTTGTAGATTCTGGATATCAGCCCTTTGTCAGATGGGTAGACTGCAAAATTTTTTTCCCATTCTGTTGGTTGCCGATTCACTCTAATGACTGTTTCTTTTGCTGTGCAGAAGCTGTGGAGTTTGATTAGGTCCCATTTGTCTATTTTGGCTTTTGTTGTCAATGCTTTTGGTGTTTTGGTCATGAAGTCCTTGCCTATGCGTATGTCCTGAATGGTTTTGCCTAGATTCTCTTTTAGGGTTTTTATGGTGTTAGGTCTTATGTTTAAGTCTTTAATCCATCTGGAGTTAATTTTAGTGTAAGGTGTCAGGAAGGGGTCCAGTTTCTGCTTTCTGCACATGGCTAGCCAGTTTTCCCAACACCATTTATTAAACAGGGAATCCTTTCCCCATTGCTTGTTTTTGTCAGGTTTGTCAAAGATCAGATGGTTGTAGATGTGTGGTGTTGCCTCTGAGGACTCTGTTCTGTTCCATTGGTCTATGTCTCTGTTTTGGTACCAGTACCAAGCTGTTTTACTGTAGCCTTGTAGTATAGTTTTAGGTCCAGTAGTGTGATGCCTCCCGCTTTGTTCTTTTTGCTTAGAATTGACTTGGCTATGCAGGCTCTCTTTTGGTGAGATGGGTGTTTTTTTATGTTGGTCAGGCTGGTCTTGAACTGCCGTCAGGTGCTCTGCGAGTGCCTCAGCCTCCCAAATTGCTGGGATTACAGGCTTTAGCCACTGCACCCTGCCAATCCCAGGCATTTTGGTTTTCTTTCTTTTTTTATTTTTTCAGATGGAATCTTGCCGTGTTAGCCAGGCTGGAGTGCAGTGGCTTGATACCAGCTTACTGCAGCCTCTCCCTCCTGGGTTTAAGCAGTTCTCCTGCCTCAGCCTCCCAAGTAGCTGGGATAACAAGTGCGTGCTAGCAAGCCTGGGTAATTTTCATATTTTTAGTAGAGACGGGGTTTTGCCATATTGGTCAAGCTGGTCTTGAACTCCTAACCTCAAGTGATCTGTCCCTCTCGCCCTCCCAAAGTGCTGGGATTACAGGCATGAGCCACCGTGCCTGGCCTTTCTTTTTTGAGAAAGTGTCCTATGCTGTCGCCCAAGCTGGAGTGCAGGGGTGTGATCCTGGATTCCTGTGACTTCCACATTCTGGGCTCAAGCAGTCCTCCCATTTCAGCCCCCCAAGTAGCTGGGACTACAGGTGTGTGTCACCATGAACAGGCTAATTTTTGTATTTATAGTAGAGATGGTTTTGCTGTGTCATCCTGGCTGGTCTTGAACTCCTGGACTCAAGCGACACAACTGTCTCAGCCTCCCAGTGTGCTGTGATTGCAGGCATTAGCTACTGTGCCCAGCCTATTTTTCACTTGTGAGAAAATATGAAACTATGTTAAAAATAGGCTGCACTATTTTATATTACACATATGGTATTTAAGGATGGTGATTTCTCTCTTTTCTCTCTGACCTTGCTAACACTTGTTATTTTACATTTCTTTGGATTTTAGCCTTTTGAGGGTGTGTTAAAGGAGTGTATCATTGTGCTTTTCCTGTAGGTTACCAGATCAAGGTGCTGCAGATGAGGCTGTGGCCAGCCATCATTGGCCTGGTGTACAGAAAGATGAGCCCTGGGAGACAAGTGCAGGTCTTCCCAGCCAGGAAAAGCAACATAACTGAACTGGTTGGTAGCAATGCTATCAGCAGCTGAGAACGCTTTCAGTTCTTACTTATTAGAGTCACTCACGATATAGTCTCACTTCCTTTGTTATTTCTCTTTATTTGTATGTATTTATTTTTTCGAGACAGAGTCTCTACCCACCATGACCTCCCAGAGTGCTGGGATTACAGGCATGAGCCACCTTGCCCAGCCTCACTTCCTTCTTAAGTCTGAGTCATATTCTGCTGTGCGGATGGATCACACTGTGTTTATCTTTTCATCTGATGGTGGACCCGTCGGTTGATTTTTCCTTTTAGCTGTTGTGAATCTCGCTGCTGTGAGCACAGGTGTGCAAATACCTCCCTGAGTACCTGCTTTCTATTCTTCTGGGATGGATGGCAGTGGCTTTGTTAGAGCAAATGGTAATGCTGTGTGTAAGTGTTTTGAGGGACCACCATTTGTAAAGTGTTTTGTCATTGTTGTTGTTGAGATGTAGTCTCACTGTGTTGCCCAGGCTGGAGTGCGGTGGCATGATCTGGCCTCACTGTAACCTCCTCCTCCCAGGTTCAAGCCATTCTCATGCCTTGGCCTCCTGAGTAGCTGAGATTACAGGCACTGGCCACCACACCTGGCTCATTTTTGTATTTTTAGTAGAGACAGGGTTTCACCATGTTGGCCAGGCTGGTCTCGAACTCCTGGCCTCAGATGATCCGCCCACCCCGGCCTCCCAGAGTGCTGGGATTACAGGTGTGAGCCACCTCACCTGGCCCTTGTAAAGTGTTTTAATCATCCTGTTTTACTGTTCTTCAGCTGGGGTTGTGATCTCAGCCCTGCTTCTCTCTGCTCCTGCTAAGGGACTTCCCATAGGCAGCCCAGTCCCCGCCTCTGTCCAGGAGACAGCATACCTGGAAGTGAAGTTGGGTCGGTCCTGCCTCAGTGCTGCTTCTGTTTTAGGTAAATATCCTGTGGAGTCAGGAGAGAAAATCCCAAGTGCACCTGTGGAACACCATGGGCATCCCCCAACTCAGAACTGTGGGAGAGATGGGGTGTTGGAGGAGAGGTAAACCTGGAAGCCATCTAGCCCTACTCTGTCCCTTGCCCCTTTTTTTTTTTTTTTTAGATGGAGTCTTGCTCTGTCACCCAGGCCTGGAGTGCAGTAATGCAATCTTGGCTCACTGCAACCTCCGCCTCCCAGGTTCAAGAGATTTTCCTGGTTCATCCACCTGAGTAGCCGGGACCACAGGTGAGTGCTACCACACCTGGCTAATTTTTGTATTTTTAGTAGAGCTGGGGTTTCACCATGTTGGCCAGGCTGGTCTCCAACTCCTGACCCTAGGCCATCCACCCACCTTGGCCTCCCAAAGTGCTGGGATTCCAGGCGTGAGCCACTGCGCTCAGCCAAGCCCTGCTCCTTTCTAATCCCACCACCTGTGAAAGGCTTCTGGAAGCTCACAGAAACAATGGCCCCAGTATGACAGCTTCCACTCACTTGCTCTGAGTTCTGGGGACACACAGTGAGGAGTGATTGTTTTCCTCACTCATCTAGATGTGATGAGCCTGGTCAAAGAAGTTTGCTGTTGCTGACTTGCAGCTGGTCAGGCCCCTGCCCTGTGGAAATTGCCCCCACTAAATCCTTATGCCTCAGTTTACTCAGCTAACTCAGATCTCCAGCCCTGCCTCAGGCTGAGTTAGGCTCCTCCCTGTCATGCCATGCAGGAATCTCCCATGTGATACTTGATTGATTGATTGAGATGGGATCTTACTGTCACCCAGGCTGGAGTGCAGTGGTACAATCTCAGCTCACTGCAACCTCTGCCTCCTGGGTTCAAGTGATTCTCCTACCTCAGCCTACTGAGTAGCTTTGATTATAGGCACATGCCACCACAGCCTGCTAATTTTTTTATTTTTAGTAGAGATGGGTTTCTCTATGTTGGTCAGGTGGGTCCCAAACTCTTGACCTTGTGATCCACCTGCCTCAGCCTCCCAAAGTGCTGGGATTACAGGCTCACACGCACCTGACCCGTGTGACACTTTAATGAAGTCAGATGTGTAGGTGATGGCTGCCTGATTATTTTCTCACCATGGGGCAGGGCTAGGGGCTGTGTTGTCTGGAAATTCCTCAGCTCTTTATGCTTGTAAGGGAAGAAGGAAGAGGGAGCCCTCAGGGGACATGCGGCAAGGTTTGGTGGGGACATAGCTCACCAGATTGTACTTGGTGTTCCCATGTAACTTGTAACCGCTCTCATAGAATGTGGCCTAGAACCTCAGGGAGTGGGGGTTGCTCACTATCACCTAGGGGTGGGGG